CCTCCCCCTTTCCCCAGGTGTACTGCAGGGTGCGGCCGCTGAGCCGCCCGGACCAGGAGTGCTGCATCGAGGTGATCAACGAGACCACGGTGCAGATCCACCCGCCCGAGGGATACAGGATATTCCGCAACGGGGAGTACCGGGAGGTAACGGCCCTGGCGGTGGGTCGGTCGGTCGGTGGGGAGATCCGTGCCTGTGACCTCCGCCTTGCCGCTGTGCTCGGCTGAAGGGGCTGCCTGGAATTAGGGACGGGAGGTCGTTTTTTCCCTGTTGTTTTCCGCTGCCTTGTGGTTGCCTTTTGCAGTTTGTGCTTTTAGGAAAGTGAATTTTCCAAACCAGAAAACCAACTAGAGCAAAAAAGGCACCCTCAGCCATTCAAATATATTCTCCTTACATGAAAAAGCTGCTTCTGCAGGGAGGAGGAAGGGTGTAAAAGGAGCAAAAGCAAAGCTGGCAGATACTTAGTCTGCTTGAAGGGCTTTTTCATGTAGGACTAAGGGAAAGAAACCAGCTCTAAGCTAAACCAGACAGAATTGAATTAACGGTTGGTTTAACCCAAGCTTAGGGCGGGTGAAAAGCACCGTGTTTCTGTTTATAGAACGCAGGGCGGGGGCAGGAGCTGGAGGTTTTGTACACAAAGTGGTGGAATGTCGTGAAGTGAGGAAGAGTCACAGCAGCTCGTGTTGTTACTTGGTCAGTACAAAGGTTTCCTAGAACGAGGAGGAGTTTAGGTGATGGGTACAGAACGAGGAGCCAGAGCGCTGAAGCGTTGAACGTGATCTGGTAGTGAAACAGCTAACTGCAGGTTCCCGGTGCAGCGCTGTGTCTGAAGGAGGCTCCCTCCTGGTGTTTCTAAGGAGGAAAAAACCCAACAAAACCAAACTGCTGTTACTTAGTTTGTAGGATACTTTGTTTTCGGTTTCAGTGTAGGAAGTTCTCGGAGGAAGCACATAAAGTGATCTTCGAAAGCATAAATAAAATAGGCAAATGAATTAAAAGGTAAACAAAACTGCCCCAAAACTTAAAATTCAAATATTTACGTAAGCAGGTGTTTTGATTGAAAAGTGACCAGAGTCATCAAAAAAAAAAAAGTCTATTGAAAAGCTATGACTGGAAAAAAGACACGAGCTTAAACCAGAATGATTAAATGCTGGAACGACCCGGGTGTTGCTTTGCTCAGCGCTCCTGTAGGTTATGGTGGGGGCTCCAACAGAGATTGGAGCTTGAACCGGTAAGTTGAGCCTCTCCAGTCGCAGGGATGCCAGGCTTTGCTCGTGCTGGTTGTTCCTGGAGTTAAGCTCTGTGAGAACGAGACAGTTGCTGCTCGTTAGACACGTCTCGTTCTCAGGGCAGACGTGCTGGCGCAACTGCCCACGTTCAAACCCTGGTGTGAGCCTAAAGTAGGATTTTTTTTCCTTCTGGGAAGCCGCTGGAAAGCGGTCCCGGGGTGTGAAGCAGTGGGGTGTTTGAAGCAACAGACTTCTGGACAGGGCAAGTGAAGGTTTAGGCCGGTGTGGTGTTCTTTTCAGACGCAGTACTCGTTTAAAGAGGTGTTCGGCACCCTTGTGGTTCAGAAGGAGCTTTTTGACGTGGTGGCTAAGCCTCTAGTGGAAGATCTCATCCGTGGGAAGAATGGTAAGCAAGTGCCTCTTCTCTACGGGTTTTCTGTGTGAGTACCGTGCAGATTCTTACACTGCTTTGATTTCACGTGGCTCGAGGTTTCTCAGCTTGGCTGGGTGACGTCCCTTGCTTGCAGGGAGAACAGCTTCCCTGTACCACGCCCTCGGAAGCTGCTCTGGCCTTTCGCTGCTTCTAAACCCATTTGCCTTCGTGGTGGTGCGCGTGCTGCTTGGGTCAGGCTCTGATCTTGTTGTACACCCTTAACTGGAGAAGCTTTTGCTGCACAAAGGGACGACTTCTGCACCTGAAGACCACAGAAATGGATTTGTAGGGCTTGATCTCCTGGGCGTGGTTTGGTATCACCTGAAGTGCCAGGCTTGCGTCAGGCTCCTCGGTCACAGTCACAACAGATCAGCCCTCTACGCCTGGGACTTAGTGCCCTCCTTCTGTTTTGGCTTCCAAAGGCCCTTTCCCCAAGAGGGTGATGCCAGTTGAAGTGGCTGTGGGGTGACTGTCGATGAGAGATGCAAACCCTGGTGGTGACGGTGGCTTTTGATGGGCTGGAGTAGTCGCTGTTGGCTGTTTGAAAGGAGGGATTGCTTTTTCCAGGCACATTTCACCCGAGAAAGGCAGGATGTGTGATTGGAACAGCTCTTTTTTGAGATGGCAAGCACGATCACCTCACTTTCCTGTCCCTCCCAGGTCTCCTTTTTACGTACGGCGTGACAGGCAGCGGGAAGACACACACCATGACAGGATCCCCTGGTGACGGAGGGCTTCTCCCGCGCTGTTTGGATATGATCTTCAACAGCATAGGACCCTTCCAGGCCAAACGATTTGTGAGTAGTTTTGCACTGAATTCTCCACGTTTGCTTGTGACAGTCTTAAAAACTCAGATAAAATGTTGTGTTCAAAGTTTTTTACCTCCTACCAAGTCATGTGACTGGAGCACTTCAAAGAGAAAACCAACCAAAAAGAACCCACCCCCAGGAGATCTGAAGAGCAGGGCCAGGGAGGCAGGTGTGGTAGCTAGGACGGACATCTCACGAAGATGTGTGGTCTGGCTCTCCTTATAATCGTTGCTCATTCTTTAATTAACTCTTTTAAAACAATAAAAAAGGAAAGAGGAAGCTTTCTGAGCTGTGGAATGAAATCCCACTGCAGAGTACAGAAGCCAGAGGAAACCGTATCTAAAATAGCATAGGACATGGTTCTTGTGGTCAAACATCTCTGGATTTTTGGCATCTAAATATATTTGAAATAACCCTGGAAGCCTCTTCCTTGGTGGCACGCTAGCTTGGGAGCTTGCGTGAAACACGGTTGTCTTGGCAGTAGCTGTTCCCTCTCAGATCAGCTTCGCATCCGCCAGCAGATCGAGTGTTGGCGCGGGGTTTGCTGAGGTCGCTACAGAGCTTGGTGAAGTGACTTGTTCTGCTGGCCAGGCCCTGACGTTCTCCAGTGTTTGTCCTTACATTGCCTGAACTTATTCACTGCTCAGGTTTTTAAGCTTGATGACAAGAATGGTGTGGATGTTCAGGGCGAAGTAGATGCTCTGTTAGAGCGCCAGAAGAGGGACGCCATGCCTGTTCCAAAAACTCCGTCTGGCAAGTAAGTAACTGTTGTAATACGCTGAATGAATTTATTTAACGTAAACGTTATTCTGAAATGGGAGTTTTAACTTACCTTGGTCTCTCCATCCTTCCCTTGAAGGAAAATATTAAGGGGAAGCTGGTGTGTTGCAGTGGTTTGGGCAGTTGCATAGTGAAGTAGTTCCATTAGCAGACTTGGAATCGGTATTGTGCTTCGTGTACCTGTTAACCCGTTAGTGAAACGCTGTGGCTTCGCTGAGTAGGAGTACTGGGAAGTTACACTTGGGGGTATCTTGCAAAATATCAGCAAAATGCTGAATGGAGGCTAGAAATGTTGACTCTCCAGGAATTTTGCAAGGCGTTTCCTGCTCCAGCCGAGTACAGCGGTGTCAGGTGGAAGTTTATCTACTTCAGCTTCTCCGAGTGCTTTTTTCTTTTAGTCTCGTGCGACTGGATGTGTTGTCGTTCGTTGCTGGTGTGAGCAGTTCCAAGCTGGGGTCGTGGTGGCTGTCAGCAGGCTTGCTTCTTCACGGTACAGCCCTGCCTGGCGCGGTCGCTGGCTGGGGGCGCTCCCCTCCGATCCCCTCCCCTGTGTGTTCGACAGGCGACAAATCGATCCGGAATTTGCCGATATGATCAACGTGCAAGATCACTGCAAAGTGGAAGAAGTCGATGAAGACAACGTCTACAGTGTCTTTGTCTCCTATATCGAGATCTACAACAACTACATCTACGACCTCTTGGAGGAAGCTCCCTTTGAGCCGATAAAACCCAAGTGAGTTTTACCGATACCATCGCTCCTGCCTCGGTTCTGCTTTTGCAGGAGTTACAGCGTGTCTTTGCAGCTGTGGGCTTGGCGAGTCTGGCTCAATTCGTGGGGATTGCTTAAAAACTGACACGAAAAAAGTGATGGCAAAGGAGTCCAGGCAATAGTGTTTCGCTGTGCCGAGTGCTGATGGTCGTTCTAAGACTTGGTGCTCCCTTCCCCGTTCTAACGAGGGGTTAATAAGGAAATATTTAATTGCTTAGGCAGTGTGGTGTGTCCTGCTGAGCTTATATTCATGCTATTCTGTGAGTACTGTTCCTGGCAGGTGGTGCAGCCTGAAGAGTAAGCCTTGCCATAGCTGACTTTTCTTTTCCTGGAAACAGTGTTTTAGGTGAAAGTAGCTATTTGGTGGTAGTAATTTCCATAAAAACAGAAATGAATTGTCTCACAAATGAAATTCTGGGGTTTTTTTTGGAAAGGTGTGTGCTTGGCTGTTGTCTAAAATCGATAAATCGAGACCAGCAGAAAAAGCAGTCTGCAAATTACCCTTCGAATTAATTTTTTTTTTAAATTCTAAATCCATTAAAGAAACCCCTGTGCCTGTCTGTCGGGACATGTGTTGATTCACAACGACTAACTAGAGCAAACCATGCTATGTCTGAAACAGCAGGAGCTGTTTTCAGGGTACAGATCTGAAAAGCGTTTGAACGCCTGTCACTGCTTTTCAGAGAAGAATAAAATGATTTGGTTTAGTAACATGCTTATGTCCAAAAATCAGCCTACGTAGCGTCTTGGATTATTTCTATTTGTGGAAGCTACAGTGTATTATATGTGAAAAGGTTTTGGACACAAGCTGAATGACTTAATACTTCTTTTTTTAACCCTGTTTTTTTGGTAGGTGGAACAATTGCAACACTCCTGTGCGAAATGGTGACTTGATGTATGTGCATAAGCATATTATTCCCAATACTGAAAACTGCAATTATCTCTTAGTGGAAGCAGAAAATCAACTCAGACTGACTCCCTATCTCTTCTTGCTTTACTAGTGAATATAGAACGCTGTTGAAGCCATCTTGCTTCTGTATGCATGTAGAAAAACAATAGCTGCCACCCAAAACCCGTGATTTCCAGTAAGAATCACAATTAAACGTGGCTCCTAAATTAAAGCAGTAGCTGAAGTGTAACTAATCTTGGCTGAATGTGTGTCCATGTACTTCCTCTTCCATCTGCTCTAGGGATAACTGACATAGTCTGAATTTTGTATTTAAAAGACAATTTGCCTGACACAGTGTATTGTTGTGTGTAAAACACTCGATTTTAGTGTGTTGGGGTTTTTTTGTTTGTTTTATTTCCTCCCTGTCCTTAAGACCTCCACAATCCAAACTACTCCGTGAGGACCAGAATCACAACATGTATGTCACAGGATGCACGGAAGTAGAGGTGAAATCTACAGAAGAAGCTTTTGAAGTGTTTTGGAGAGGTAAATCTGGAAATACAACTTCTTAAATGCAACACAGATGTGTAATCCCTTACGCTTGCATGCTGAAAACAGACTTGGCTTTGCCAGGTGGCGAGGATTTTGGATAAAACTGGTTTTTAGAGGGGTTGTTTTTGCTTTTCTGACCAGGGCAGAAGAAGAGGCGTATTGCCAACACTCAGCTGAATCGGGAATCCAGTCGCTCCCACAGTGTTTTTATAATCAAGCTGGCTCAGGCGCCGCTGGATGCTGATGGAGATAACGTGCTGCAGGTGAATTCTGGGGGAGATTAGAGGGATCTTACTGTGCCTACAGCCTTAGCCATTTCGTTTTGAAGGAAGTAGAAATTATTAAGTTTCAAGTCTTTGACAGAATTAGCCTTCTTTTTGTGACGAAAGTAGGGCATCAAAATGGAGCGTGAAGCTGCTTATTCCTTTGCTTTTACCTCTGCTGCTTTTCAGCAAAAGCTGTTCCGACTCCCAAACTTGGAGGATTGGAATGAGCGCAGTTGTTGGATCCATCTTGTGGCCCAAGGCAGAGGGGATCTGCTAAACTTAGTCACTTAGTCCCCTTAAGGGCTGTAAAACCACCTTTGAACTTCATTCAAAGGCCCAACATTCTCTTTTAAGTGTGCGTGAGGTTTAGGTTTGGGGGCATGGGGTGTTCCCCCCACCCCCTTAGAAGGAATAGAGAGCTAACCTTTAGCCTAACCTGCTTGTTTCCTGTGACAGGAGAAAGAACAGATCACTTTAAGCCAACTGTCTTTAGTTGATCTGGCTGGAAGTGAAAGAACCAACAGAACAAAAGCTGAGGGGAACCGGCTGCGGGAAGCAGGTACGTCCCCCCTTCAGACCGCTGGTCACTGTGTGCTCGTACAGGCTCTCGTCAGGCTTCTCTCCTAGTAAGGAGATCCCAGGAAGAATTGAAGGGCTCTGTTACGGTGTTCAGTTGACCTTAAATCCTCCACTTTGGAGACCACAAGTTTTTAGTAGTACTTATTCTGATAATTCAGTTAATTAGAGCAGTTATCTGTAACCGAAGTCTGGGCAATTTATTCTTAAGTAAACTGCTAAATCATTTGGGAACATGATCCAAATGGCTGCTCACAGAGGTGGTTTTTCGTGTGTGTGCGGGCCTTGGCTTTTTTTTTTTTAAGGTAACATTAATCAGTCGCTAATGACGTTAAGAACATGCATTGAAGTTCTGCGGGAAAACCAGATGTACGGAACAAATAAGGTAGGCAACCCATTATCTAATTACCTTTTGATTTGATGAAGTTCTGGTGTCGTGGAAGCTTACTGGGTCTTTCATGTGCTCTATTTTAAGATGGTTCCGTACAGAGATTCCAAACTAACTCATCTCTTCAAGAACTATTTTGATGGTGAAGGAAAAGTGCGTATGATTGTGTGCGTTAATCCTAAAGCTGAGGACTACGAGGAAAGCTTGGTAACCTCCTTGCAGATCTTGCCTCATTCCCCCCCCCCTTCTTTCATGTTTGTCACTGAATTCCTGTACTTGTTGAGTAGACGAGAGGAACGGTAACTCTCGTTGCTTGGGCACTTCAGGTAATCAAATATAATACTGTAGGGCAAACGTGCCCTCCAAGCCTTATTTTTCCTCTTAATAATTATAATGGCTACTTGCTTGTAAAAGAGGAAAAGTTTCTGTTATTTACAGAAGCCCAAATAGCCATATTTGAGTGCTCAATCCCTACTGTGATGGTACTTCTAAAAACTTCAGCCACCCCCATGGACAGTTTCACGGTTCCTTGTGGGGTGAAGTCGAGGGGGTGCTGCTGGAGGGTGTCTGGATGCTCCTCTTCAGGATCCCAAGCCATCCAGCTGGGAGCTACTTGAGGTTATAGCTTGATGATGCCTCCTCTAGTACTTTTATTCACCTAAAATACCACTTTCAAGCTTAGGTTGCGCCGCTTCGGGTCGGTTTTGGGCTTAAGCTCGCCTCTGCTCTTTTGCAGCAAGTCATGCGCTTCGCCGAAATGACCCAAGAAGTCGAAGTGGCCCGGCCTGTCGACAGACCGCTCTGCGGCCTGACGCCGGGGCGGCGCTTCAGGAACCAGGCCTTCCGCGAGGAGCTCGCCCGCAAGCTGGAGATGCGGGGCGGCCCCGTCAACGGAGGTGAAAGCCAGAAGGGCGGGTGGTGACGGCACAGGAGGAGCTTGACAGGCTCTTTTGGGGCTGGGAGGGGCTGAAGGCGATTTCCAAACGGATTATTTGAGCCTTGAGAGGGCCCGAGGCACCTCGCTGCGCTGCTCGTTGTGAGCCTTCGCTGCCGTCGGTGCTGCTCTGCCCATCCTGCAGCGCTGCTCGTGGTATAAACCCAATCTCCAAGTAATTCCTTGTCACGGATGAGCTAAATTCATGGTCCCATTGTGGCAGCTCCCAAAAGGAAATCGTGCTGGGAATGGTTTTGTATGCTTAGGGCCCGCTTTAGAAACCCGGCCTTGCCTGGAGGGGTTATAAAGCAGTGAATCGAGAACGTGATGTTGAGTCTTTTCTCAACACCCATCTCTTCTGAAAGCTTCTAGCTCTCCTTAATTATTCAAAGGTCTGTCTGCTTTGTGGTACCGTGGAACGAGCGACCTGTGGCTGTGCGTGGGCAAATGGGATGGTTCCCTTCCGCAGCTCACTGACGGGCTTTCTTGGCTTTACATCTTGCAGAGGCAGAAGAGCAATTTGCTTCAGAAATGTTTTTGCAGAACTTCCCTCCGTTGCCTTCGTGTGAGCTGTTGGATGTTAATGATGATCAAACACTTCCAAAGCTTATCGAAGTCCTGGAAAACCGCCATAAACTGCGGCAAATGTTGTCAGAGGAGTTTGCCAAGAACGGTAAGGACCTGAGCGTCGGTGTGGGGCTAGGTTTTTGGCGCCCTGATTGCTACTCAAGGGAGCTCTTCTGTACCAACATAAGCATCTTGTCTAGACTGATTATTTAAAACAACTTTTTGATATTGGGGAGACACAGTGAGAAGGTAAAGTATATCAATTCTCTTGCAGTACTTGCCTTTAAAACAATGCTGCAAGAATTGGACTCCAGCGTTCTATCCAAGGAAAACTATATTCAAGGAAAACTGTCCGAAAAAGAGAAAACAATAGCAGGACAGAAAACGGAGCTGGAACGCCTGGAGAAGAAAATTAAAACTTTGGAATACAAGGTCAGTTCTTTCTCTGGCTGAAGCTAAACATGAGGTGCCTTTCCTAGGTACCACTTGGCAAGCTTCTCGGCAGCGGAAGCTGCTTGCAAGGTGGGCGGTAGGAACAAGATTACAAGTATTTTGTGGGGAACTTTTATTGAACACTTTTTGGCTTTCTTGGCTTTTCTTAATACGTCAGGATGGGCAGCTTGTGAGAAAGTTGTGGGATCTCTGAAACTTTGGAATGTGGACTGTTTATCTGGGTGTATTTGTACAACAGCTAACGTATTCCGATAGGTGTCAACGATGGGTGTAACTAGCAATTCGGGGCTTAGATGGTTGTGCTTCTAAAGCCTGGCCACGTCCTTCCTCTCTTCCTCCAGATTGAGATTTTGGAGAAAACTACGACCATCTATGAGGAAGACAAGCGTAATCTTCAGCAAGAGCTAGAAAGCAAGAGCCAGAAATTGCAACGTCAGGCTTCTGACAAGCGCAGGTTGGAGGCACGGTTGCAGGGCATGGTGGCAGAAACAACCATGAAATGGGAGAAGGAGTGTGTAAGTGCACTGCCGGGTCTCTTGGGGGTGTGTAATGGAGACACGCTGCGCGGAGCCGGGCGGCTCGGTTTTGGGAGGGTTTTTACATAGTGGTCGCGTTAAGGAGGGAGATGTTTGGCTTTAATTATGGGCTTGAGCAGATGTTTTGAACTTAACTTTTATAGATGCGACAAGGTAAATTCCTCAAGGGCTTTTAGGGCAGCTAGAGCAGCTCTCAAGCACTGTGCTGCTTCATTTCGAGGCCTAGAATTTGTTCTTTTGGGTTTGTGGCACAGCAGTTAGGGAGTGATTCTTTTGTTTTGTCAGCAGAAGCCTGACGTCAGGATTTCCCCTTTATCCTCCTGTAAACTCTTGCTCAGATGTGCACTTGACAAGCGATAAGGAAAGGAAATTGGAGGGATTAACTCTTGCTACTGCACCTCTGTGTGCCGCTTCAGGACCACTCATAGAGCTGTAGTTAGGCTCCCGTTCGCCATAATTGAAGAAGCAAAAACAATTATGGCGTTAAACGTGGGGCTCTTTTATGATCTGGAAACTTTCTTCAGCTTGATATGTCACTGTTTCCAGTAGCTTGTATCTCTGGGAGGGGGGAGAATTCCATCCCATGTGGCAGATGCAATTCCCTTCAAACTTCCAGCCCAACGGCTTGTGCTTTCGTGTGAGGGACTTCAGGCTTTTCCTCGCTTGTCTGTAGGAGCGTCGCGTCGCAGCGAAGCAGCTGGAGATGCAGAACAAGCTCTGGGTCAAAGATGAAAAACTGAAGCAACTGAAGGCCATTGTTACCGAACCAAAACCTGAAAAGCCAGAGAGGCCTTCGCGGGAGAGAGACCGAGAGAAGCCTGTTCAGAGATCAGTGTCCCCTTTACCAGGGCCTGTAAGTTGCCTTTAAAACACTTCTTGACAGAGGGAAAAGGGAGTTCATAAGAAGGAGCTAAAGTGCAGGGCACTTCTCTTTAGTGGCTAGAAAATAGTTCCCAGGCACAGAATTTGGATTGCGTAGGCTTGCTTCGAATTCTTTGTCTCCTGTTGTATTTATCAGTGCTCTTTATTTGTGCTCCTGCCTTCGAATGCCCCCAGTCTTGGAAGAATTTCTGATTCTTAACGCTGTCCCTGCAACGCAACGGCTCTCCAAACCCCTGAGCTTGCCGAGCTGAATTGGCATGCTGCACGTTGTCAGTATTCGTTGTTTTATTGCCTTGTAACTTGACAGTTCTGTATGTTCATTAACTTCTTTCCTGTTCTCTCTAGACTTCTAGTAACTTTACTACTCAGGTCCCTAGCAGCCAGCGGCTCGGGAGCCACCCGCAGGGGCACAGACGTTCTAACTCTTGTAGCAGCATTTCTGTGGCATCCTGTGTGATGGAGTGGGAGCAGAAAACCCCTTCGCACAAGCCTACCAGTGGCACTTCTAATGCAAGGAGTAGACAACAAGAACCAGAACAAAGTAGAGACTTTAACACCCCAGACAGAAGGCGAGGGATGTGCTGGACTGGAGTCACTGTGGTTCCCAGGCGTAGAGATGAGCTAGAAATACAAGAGGATCAATGCTGCAGGGTTAGTGCTGCTCCTGTCGAACGTAGCGTTGCTTAGTCTGGCTCAAAAGCTCGTTACAACCGCTCTGGCGTTGGGCACACCTAACAGAGAAGGGAGTTTTCCCCTAAATGTGTTTCTCCTAGGACAGTGCTGTTTCCAAATTGAGTCTCACTGCTTGTTCTCTTTGACTTCTTCATCTGATGTTTAGAAACTCCTTAGAGCAGCGTGTGTTTTTCTTGCTGGCACGTAGACAGCTCTGAACTAGCTAGGCCTCTTCTTTAGCTGTGAATGTCCTTGTGTTTTAACTTGGGTCTGTCTCCTCAAATCTGTCTTGCAGCCTGCAGGTTACCGTAGTCTCTGTGGGCAGCTTCAAAGGTGGGCTCGTGAGCCGTAGCTGCCAGTGTCTGCTGGAAGTCTGCTCGGGCCAACATCTCGCTTGTGTGACTGTTAACTCTAACTCTTAGAATAGTCTTCCCTAATTTTCACATCTGTCTTAAAACTGGGGGCTTTGCTTACAGGTGGGAGGCTTTTTTTTTTCTTTCTTTTTGACTAAACTGGTGCGTGTGAGTGTTTATACTGGTGAGGTCTCTGTCGCCTTTAGCACTGTGGCAGTGGCTCAGGTAAAATCAAAGAGAATTCTCCAACCCCAGCCTCCTGAGAGGAGGAGAGTTTATCGTGATATGATTCATTTTGGAGCGTGTTCTCGAAACTTGTGTCCCTTGCTGGCCCTTGGAAGTAGGGGACGTGTTTTTAAGCAAACGCTACTCCAGTAACACACAAACCACTGTCAGCAGAGCGAGGGCCGTGGTCTCTGCCTCGCTAGGACGTGACCGGTAGCGTGCCCTCTCCTCAGATCAGGACTGCCAAGGCACTTTGACAGAATTGTTTCAAAAAACCATCGATGGAAATAAGTGCTTGCCTGCTAAAAGGGGGCGGGGGGAAGTGTTGGATTCTTTTTCTTTCATTTTAATGGAAGATTTGTGCCAAAACCCACCTTTCCCTGTGTATGTTTGATTTTTTTGAGAGCTGCTTTAGCCTTGTAGGAAGGGTACAGCCAATCTCGGGTCTGTTGGTCAAAGAAATTCTAATGGATGCCCATCCCTTGAAAATAATACAGTGGATGGGATTTGCATTCATAGGTTGGGGGGGTGTAACCTCACCGTGATGCAGAGCTCTCTAAAATTAGCGAGTCGATGGAACAGAGAGACTCGACAAATCCCCTTTCAAAAGCCCATTCAAAGGGACCCAGGTTTTTAAGCAAGTTTCCAGAATGTTCTGATTTTCCTGAGCGACTGACAATAACGTTCATGTTCATCAAATCAAAATACGTGAATTTGAGTCACTTCTCATGGATTTCCAACAGCTGAGTTCAGCAGCGACGGCGCTAGCGCAGGGGATGCTTCCTCTGGTGACTCAGAGGTGTGATGAGGTCTCGCCTCCTTCAGAGATGTTGGAAATCCATACTCGGTCTGCTTACTTTGCTGCCTCAAAAATACGTTTTTGATTCATGGATGCATCCGTGGAAACACAAATTTCTCTTTTCTGGTTGGTTAATATGTCCGTAGCAATCCGCTTTGGTTCAGAAACTCAGGAGGAGCATTACTGCCCATAAAGATAGCTTCCCTGAGGACACTTCACTAGGTTTGGAGTGCCACAGATTGGATAACGCTTTGCTAAAATTTACAGGACATGGGAATTGGCACAGAAATAATCCATTAATAATTCCATGCCAGGCTCTTGGTAACGGTGCCTTTCAGGACAGGCTCTGAAAGCACTTGAGGAGCGAAGCTCCGTGCCAACTCATCTTAACCAGACCCGCAAAGTTCGCTTCTGCTAATGACACCCTCGGAGATTTCCTGTGTGCTGATTGCTTCTGGTTCTCTCCCACTCCGATCAGACTGCGCCTCCCGTTCGCCTCAGACACAGACGGTCCCGCTCAGCTGGGGAGAGGTGGGTGGATCACAAACCACCTTCTCATCTGCCCACTGAGACAGTCCTGCAGCCCCATGTCCCTCACGCCATCACGGTGGCGGCTGCAAGCGAGAAGGCACTAGCTAAGTGTGACAAGTATATGCTGACGCACCAGGAGCTAGCCTCCGATGGGGAGATTGAGACAAAGCTCATCAAGGTAAAGCAAACGCCTTCCTCATGAACTCATAATTAACCCTGTCGAACCCTCTGTCTGTCTGTCCTGCGGGCTCGCTGCCTGGGCTCCGTCTGCGGAGGGATTTGGCGGGGAAGCTCTGTGCCAGGGGGCTGTTGGAGTCTGGAAGTCCCTTGCGTGAACTTTGTCGTTACTTCGCGTGAACCGTTACCAGCTTGTTTGTCTCGAGCACCCTTTGCCTTGAAAGTAGTTAGTTTTTCCTGTTTTCCTCTAGTAAAATGCAGTCATCCGTGTGCAGTGAGAGTTTCTTAGACTTGTGGCTGCTGCTCATCTTGTGCAGTCGGTCGTGTTGGAGCGACGGGGTGTGATTTCCACTACGAGTGAGCTGGCGGCAGCGCTGGCTGCTGGAATGCGCCAGGACATGGTTGCTAGCAGTCAGCTAGTGAGGCAGCCCGGCCTTTGTGTCCCCCAACCCTGCCTGTGCTCCCCTGAGGCACGCTCAGAGCTCTCTGTCACTCCCAGCGAGAAGCTTTTAGTTCGTTTCTTTTTCCTCCAGGCCTTCCGATATTATTATTTTTTTTTTTCTTTTTGAGTTTTTAAAAGGCTCTCACCCCTGTAAGGTAACGCTGTAGGTTCCAGCGATGTTTCCAAAAGCAGTCTCCTGCGTGCCTGGCCGCATCCCGGTGCGTGCTGTGTGACGCTGAAGCCAAGCCCGTGGTTTCTGTGGTATCGCTTGGCCGTCGGTATCGCACGGAAATCTCTCTTGTCGCGGCTGCTCCGTGGGTATCTGGTGTGATATCGGGGTGGATGGTGTTCCCTCCTCCTCGCTGTCCTGTGTGAGAGAGGAGGCGTGATGGGGCAGAGGGTACTTGTGCCCGCGTGCTCGCTGGCCGCTGACCTGCGAGGACGTGACAGCCGTGGCACTGAAGTTTTCACGTGGCGGCCGGTGCTGTGGCCGTTACGCCGCCCCAGTGGCGGTTGAACTGCTTTTGTTTTCCAGGGTGACGTCTTCAAAACCCGGGGCGGTGGCCAGGCTGTGCAGTTCACGGAGATAGAGACGCTGAAGCAGGAGTCTCCAACGGGGTGAGTCGTGCTCTCGGGGTTTGGGCTGTGACGCCGCTGGAGGTGGGGAGCTCCGGCAGCGCAGGGGTGGCTGCTTCTGGGCCGAGTGACTGAACGGGAAGGTGCTGCATCTGACTTGAAATCTTATAACCCAGGGAGGCTTTTAGCTACTGTAGCTGCTTTTAAGGCTGGTCTGCTGCCGAGAGCCAAGTATTTACTTAGAAAGTATAAAATGTGTTCTCCTGTGTCTGAGGATCTGACACTGGTAACTCTCTTCCACCCAGCCGAAAGCGGAGATCGTCGCCTTCCAATCCTGACCCACCCGAGGACGCTGCAGACTCCGAATGGACTGATGTAGAAACCAGAGTAAGCTAAAAAGGATGAAGGGGGACGTGTCAGGCTTGATCTGGATGAGAATTTGGGGTAGTGCTGATAGCTGGGGGAGCGCCCTAGCAACAGAGACTGATTTTTCTGTGTCTTCTCAGTGTTCTGTGGCGGTGGAGATGAGGGCAGGATCAGCTCTTGGACCTGGGTATCAGCATCACGCTCAGCCCAAGTAAGTGTCACTCTCCTTTGCAGCTGGGGAGCGACGTTCTTTTCCCTGCTAACAGCTAAAGCGCGACCCCGGGGCTGGGCTGCGGGCCTCTGGCGCTGGGAGAGGAGCTGGCTGAGTCAGCGCAGGCAACTGGGGACGGGCTCGATCCGTAGGAGATTCTGAGCAGGATGATTGACTCGTCTGCTGGGTGAAACTCTGGCATTCGGAGCGGAGAGCGGGATGCCAGGTTCGATCTGGTGCTGTCTTGGCTGTAAAAGCCGGGAGCGGTGGGGTGAGGGACGGCAGTGGCAAAGCACGCGCTCTCCTTCCGTCTCCCTGGCCTTTATCGGAGGCTGGTGTGGTAAAATGCATTTGTTTTTGTATCTTTAGGTAAATTCAGATCGAATAAGGTTACAAATACCTCGATATATTAATTTCAGTGTGGTTTAGGGAGGAGGCAACCGTGGGATGTACGTAACTGTGCACTGGAATGTAGCTCACGTCCCAGCTGCTGTGTAACTGTCACAGCAGGGGCTCTGGCCATGCTGGAAGAGACTTTCCCCTTTTTCAAACGCACAGACAACAGTCTGAATTCCTCAGGGCTGTCCTGCCGTTCTTTGCCGTGCTGGGATCAGTGGTGGCCGCGCACGGAAACGCCGGCTCAGCCGGTCAGAAGTCCCGGTTTCTGGCAAAACATCCAAACGATCCTGCGGTTCGTGAGGCTCGGGCCCAACACCCGAGCCCCCACGTCTTAACGAAACGCTCAGATCAGATAGTTTTGGTAAACGAGGTATTGCAGAACAGGATTCACTGTCCAGGTTTGGCCTCTTGCAGGCAGGCCCTGGCGGTGCTGTGGGAGGCGCCGCTGGCAGTTTTGCAGGACATATTTACGGGCAGGAGGGGGCTGGAGGGGTAAAGAGGCTTCTACGAAGCCAAAATCAACCAAACTTACTGCATTGGGAGTCCAAACAGCGTAGAAGGGTATTTTGGAGGGTATCTGCAGTCGGTAATCCCTCCTTCAGGTACGGTGACAAATAGGTGCCTCTCGTCACGTAGCACGTGCTGTGACATCTGTTGTTAGAAACTGGGACCCGCTCAAGGCGGCTGCTGCTGCTCGCAGCCCTGTAATGTCGTAGGGAACCCTTTAGTTTGCCTGTGCGTGGGGCTGGAGCTTGTATTTATTTAAGTCATTAAGTAATTTAAATAAAACTTTGGTTTTACGCTCGTGGCTGTCTAAAGAAAGCAAAATACAAGTGTCCCTTGATAAAGAAGCTCTTTAGTTTTTGTGTTAGTTGTGTTTCTTAGGACGCGAGTTGTGTGCGCAGCAGGGCAGGGAAACAGGCCCTCGACTGCTGTCAAGGGGAACTGCTGCTGTGTCAAATTTCAACGCTGTTTGGGGCTTTTTTTCTTTTTTTTTTTAGGCGAAGAAAGCCGTGAACTCGATGTACTGCTGCGCTGGAATCCCCGTGGTTTTTATCAGACTGGTGTTGTATCTGCTGCCAGTGAGAAACTTGACAAAACCCGCTTTTGTGATCGCTGCAGGCTTATATTTTTAGAGTGGCCTGTGCTGGGCGGTGGTGAAATGGGGGGCACTCCTGGCGATCCCAAAGAAGCACGTGGGGGGGGGGGGTGTGTATATTTTCGGTAGATGTGGGGAGTTCTGCCCGTGTCCTCTGGACTTCTGAAGAATCTCTCATATGTATGAAGCCCTTGTTATTAAGCTGTATCTTTATAGACTAATGACACGAGGCTTTTGCCTTGCATATTTTTTTTTTCAGCTTTTTCTGTTTATGATGCAAAATACTTCTGTTCTGGTCACTATATCCCTTCCTTGTCAGGTCCTCTGTTTTGAAGAGGCATAAATGCTGCTATTTATTTAGATGCAGTAACGCACTTTAAGAGTGTTTCTATGCCATTGCATATTTTATTATAACTAGCAACAGCTTGGTGATATGTATTTCTTCTTGGAAGGATTGCCTTTGACTATTTAATATGCAAATTGCCTTGTGAAAACATTTCAGTCTTCAGCTCTTCATAGTAACGAAGCAAGAATACTGATACTATGAGTAGGGGTGACTTGACGTACGTTATTTTGTAGTGCAGGTAAATAAATGTTTTACATCCAATATGGGGTAAAAGGGTGACTTGCTCACAGATCCGGTGAGACCTTTATGTGTGTGGCTCTGTAAACGTGTTAGAATAAATACTTTTATTCAGTGGCTCTTACAGACCGCGTGCTTCGGGGTGGGGTAAGCCACAGAAACCAAGGTAAGCGCCGCGGCCTCGTGGCTGGGCCTTGTGCAAGGAGCAGTGAACGAAGGCACCCGCTGGGGTGCTTCTGCGGCTGGGACCGAGGAAGCTGCTGGGATCCCGAGGTGGGTCTTGGGTACAAGCTTACCTTCCCGCCTGCAAACCGCTGTCAGGGGCGGTTCGTTCCCTTCGGCCTTGTTGAGAGATGAAGCCTGGAGCTTTTCCTAGCGTAAGAAAAAGCTTTTCTTGCCAAGTAGTGTAAAAAAACCCTCATTTTTTTTTATAAAGCCTTGGGGATTATTTTTTTTTAAGGGAAAAAGCACCAACGTGAGCGCCTGTTGGTAGCTGGTACACACCCAGTGGTCTTTCAGATGGGTTACGCTCTGAAGAACGCCCACCTTTTCCCCCCGAGAGCCGCACCGAGCAGGAGCGGCCCCGCTGCGGCAGTCCGTGCCTTCACCCAGCTGGGAGCGGTCCTGGCCGTGCTGGGAGAAAGCGGGAGGCGCACGTGGAGCTGGAGCTGGCAGCGCTGCTGCGGGGCGGTTTGAGGCTTTGCCGCCTTCCCCTCGGCCTGGGTTAAAAAGCTGCAGGTCGAGAGAGCTCGGGAGGGGGTTGCTCAGCGTGGGTTCAGGGTGCTGCTTGAAGGAGGTCTTGCTTTTATTTACCGCCTGGCTGGTTAGTTAAAATGCAACATGGCTCGTAAGTGGCAAAGGGACGGAAAACCAACGAGGAGGGGGAAGCACCAGCCTGAAGAAACGTGTGGGTGCGTTTGAGCAGCTGCTGGAACCCCAGCTTGCCGGGCAAAAATCCCCTGGCGCCCGCTGATGGAGCGGTGGGAGCAGCTGCATGGAGAGCTGGTGCCACTAGATGGTGTGAAACAACCACCGGGGGCTGGGTCCCTCTTCCTCGGCCCTGCGGGGAGGTCGGCTTTCCCAGGGAATTCCTCCTCTCCACGCTGGGAAGTCTTGGGATACCCTCAACGTGTGCAGGGGGTTCCCCGCTGCCGCCCATCGCCCTGCCTTTTGCTGCTCCCCAGGGGAGGATGGGGGTGGGAAGGGCTGCCAAAAAAAGAAAGAAACTTAAAATAAGGCCCATGCTCCTGTTTCTGGCGTTTAAATTAACTCCTCCGCACCCACTGAAATAATTCATCTACTATTAACCATCAGCAAGCTGTCAAACGCGTTGGCTCTTTGATTTGGATTCAATCATCCTGTCATCGGCGTAAGTAAGTGTTTCTGGGGAAACGGGAGGGAGACGGGAGGAACTGGTGCTCAGAACTTCGTAAAGGAAAAATACCGAGCTACAGAATGGGGCTTCGTTGGGGTCGCCGCAAAAGCGATGGGAAAGGCGTTCCGAGTCAGCTCCCAAAATGCTGGGCTTTGTGTCACCGGTGGCAAAGGACGGGTGGTTAAAGTGCTGATTTCTCAGTCCTTGCCAAGTTCTGCGTTCTGACGTGTAACGTTTGGCAAGAGCTTTTCTTCGGAAATTCCTTGTTTTGGAGGAGAAAGCCGCTGAGCACCGCGACAACAGTTCCTGCAGCCACCTTGTGCTGTTAGAGGTTAATCGAAAGCACAAATGAAGACCCTGCTGCGGAGGATGTCTGCCCTCGCCAGCGCTGCGAGGAGGGTGGCAGCACGGTAAGGACTTGTGGCGAGTCTGTGACTTGTTCTTCGTGTCCCTCGACTGCCCTGGGGGGTCTCTCGCCGAGGGAACTGTGCTGCTTGTGCCTCTGGTGGGATGGAAGGGGAGGGCGGAGGCTGGGCTGCTCTGCCTGGCTTGAAATCTCGACTAGGTGCTGCACCTCCCTCCTCTCAGGGTTCTGTCTTTAATTATGTTGTTACCCCCCGCGAGGGGCACCGCAGAGAGCTTTAAAGATTGAAACCTGATGAGTGAAGGAGCTTCGCGAGCTGCCCAGGCTTCACGTCGGGGAAGAAACAGATCCGGGATGTGGACTTGGGCTCCCTGGGAGGAGCCAGAGCCCGGTTGGCTCGGGGGAAGGAGAAGACACGGGGGCTCCTGCGGCAGGAGGAGCTCAGCTCGCCCCTCAGGCTCGGTTTCCCGGCCCAGGTCTAGCACCGCGTTTCCAGCCACAGAGCTGCGTGCGGTGCCGCTCAACCGCCTCCCTCTGGAGTCGCTCCTCGTGGCTTTGCGTCGCCTTCACATATTTGCTCTCGCAGGCAGCGCTGGCCGTGTTTGCTCTGCAAAGATTCCTCTAAGACTCGGCTGAGCACACAATTTACTCGGCTAACAAGGGCTGGCATTTATTGTGGGTATCTCTGTGTACTTGTCGCTCTTTAGTCTCCGCTGACATTCAGTGGGAAGCGCTAAAGCAAACAGCAGCCCGCAGTGGGAGGGCTGCCTGCACCGACGCTCCTCTGTGAAAGAGCTGAACGAAGCTGCCAGCTTGATGTTGGCCAGAGCTGGCTCCCACCAGCCTGCTGTCAGTGAGGATGGAAAAGCCTTTTTGAAGCAAGTGGGCTTTGGGGAAAAATTTTCATCTTTGAAAATTCAGCTTTTTATCCTTTGCAGTGCCTGTGTACCTTCCTTTATTTTTCCCTTGAGCTTTGCACTGATTGCAGCTAACATTTCCTGAGAGCGGGTAAGGGAGGAGCCCTATGAAGTAACCCAAAGTTCAAATTTCTAGCTTTTTTTTTTTTGGGGGGGGGGGGTTAGCCCTAAACTTGTTATTGCCCAATAACAGAGGAATGGGGCTGGAGCCCTTTAGAGAGCTGGGGCTCTAAACCCAAGGGCATCTTGGGGTCTGGCCGTCA